ACAAAGCACGATCGCATAAAAAAAAGTCCTTTCGTTAAGTAGATAATAAAGCATTCAATAGCTACATTACATGGTTAGATAAGAGAAAGAAAAAACAAATAGCTAATGGGTCATATCACAAAAAAAGTGCCATATAGTGTTTTGTCGTACAAGAAACCTTGCATTGCTCTTTTGTCCAAATTTAAAAAAAAAAAAAAAAAAAGACAACAAACAAACAAACACTATTTTTAGTTATATTATAGGCAAATAGCCATATCAATAAGTAAGGGACTCGTCATATCAACAAATTTGAACGTGCCAATTTCTTGATCAATGCTAACAAAAAAATGACTCCCATCTACCACTCGCATAACATGCTATTAAAACACATATAGCCCAATGAGTTATATATTTAGTCTAAGCCACATCTTTTTTCTTCACCCTATAACAAACACACCACCATATCCCACTTTCTTTGTGATGCCTTTATAAAAAATTTTGGTGATGTATTCAAAATATTGCTCCTCAAATCGTGCGACCATAATTTAATCTAATGAATGAAAAACCAAACAGAAATAGCAACAGGACAAGGGCAATAATTGAATTCTTGCTTAAGCGGACAATCCACAATTTTGAGGTTTTTCCTCTTTTTTAACATAACCACATACGTTTTCACTTCATTACGGAGAAATGTTTGTCTTTTTTGCCTTCAAAAGTGCATTATAACAAGTTATAAATTAACTTATTTATGGTTTATCACTTATACAATTAGAAAATCAATAATTCAAATAGATATAATATATGAAAATGAATGGTGGTACTTATCATGTCCATTCGCACTGAACTTTGCCGTAACAAAAGGGTGTACTTTCTTATACCCATCACATAGGAATCTCTCGTTCGTAACCTATTCTCGGGTCCGATGCCTTAATAATTGACCTCACATATTCCATTTTTATAATCACTTATTGAAAACTCTTAACAAAATTCAGAATCATCCGGATGTCAAATTATTTGTTTCACCTAAAAATACTACATGTATTATATGACTTGTGTCATAAGCAATGGTATCACTCAAACAAGAATGTTACTTACAAAAAATGTAACAATAGTATACTTTTAAATAAACGACTAGCAAATGGTCTTGAACTATGAATGGAACTCCAACATCTCGTTTCCCATAACCATAATTAGTTAACACCCTCAATCAACAAAAAATATTTAGAGTTTGATGTAATAACTATTTTGGATCAATATTAAACCATCATTTTATAGCAGCTTGGTTTCTATGATGAAAACCATAATGATCTAGGTTAGCCTATCATTCCTCCTCGACAAAATTAGACGGCTACACATCTATTTGAGGATCATGCATCCTATGAAGGTATGAAATAAAATAAAAAATTTCCTTCATCTAAAGGCCCCAAAATCATGTCGTTCAATCAGCTAATCATATATTCATGAATTAAATCGTTAAATGAAGAATTACATCTTGTAGCACGGATCTATATCCTTATAGAAAAAAGAGTCGTCCAAGTGTTCGACCTCTATCGATAATCCACGCAATCTAAGCACCCATAAAAGAAGCACTCGAAATTAATAGAGTGCTAGCTCCACCTTTTTTGACTTGTTTAGTTTTTTTTTTTTTGAAATCTAATCGGGGTAATTTTGTGACAACTTTAAGAGAGAGAGGGAAAAGTTGTGTGTACTAGGGTTAGGGAGAAAATTATTTTCTCCTTGTTTTTATATTAAGTCGTGTACCCTAAATTTTTTTTTCTTTTTTTGCCTTTTTCCATCTCTCTCTCTCTCTCAATTAATTCACTTCTTGTCACACCTCTTCTCCTATTTATAGAGTGGGAGTTTTTCTTGTCCTCCAAGGATAAGGAGGGGTGACAACTAGTCCCGAAAAGGACTCTTTAAATATAACCTTTTTTGTATTTTTTTCTTACTTCAAAATCTAAAACGATCTTTTTACGATATAAGCATATCACATCAAATATTTAGCGAAGTGTAAAAAACATATAAAAATTATAATTCTTTATTATTATTTGTGCTTATAAATTATCTAATTTTCAAATACATTAATTTAGGTTGTATTGTTAGAAATGTCAATATAACATTGTATATCGCTCGGACAAATTAGGACATTAGGCCCTCCAAAAAACATTATTAGTTTTAAAAATTATTACTATTATATATATCGACAGATTGTTGCATATAACCTACGGGAATTGGGCACTAAGCCATCCCCCCAAAAAAACCTTTCATAAACAACAATAATTCCTACCTATTTCCACCATTGAGAGAATGTTCACTCGTAGTAGAGCGTGGACCTTAAGCTAGTTATTGCTACATGTAATAGTCATCTTTGAAGACTACTTTCGTCTCTTTATTATTATTATTATTTTTTTATGATAGAACTTTCCGTATGTCTTTTATTAAATATCACTTAATTATTATATTTTTAAGAGGCTTTTATTTCTTCATTTTATGAGAGTTTGGTGGTTGTTCATTTTCCTTCCCTACATGCGATGAACAAAGAATTTTTGATAATTTCAAGTGATTATGTGTTTTTAGTATAGGTTATCATAGCATTGCTTGCTTAATGTGTAGTCTAAGATCTAAAAAAACAAGCAAACTAGCGAGAAGTTAAACTATCTAGCTTAGTATATAAAATAGAAAGAAATTGATTAGAGTTAAGTAAAAAGTAATGTATACAATTGATTAGTAAAAAAAAAAAATGTTTTAGCTACTTTAAAAACATTAAAAAAAATTATATGAAAATTACCCTAGCATTAGCAATACTATATGCACAAACATATATAAAACACACCAAATAAGAAAATGAAGATATTGATTATCATTTGAGATGAAGAAGAATTTTGTGATACTAGATTGAGAGATGCTCAAACTCTATGGAAGCTCAAAGATAGAAACAAACTCAAGCACCCAAATATTTCCTTAGGTCAAATGGTCTAAACCAAAAATTGAGCCCCTCGATCAACAAACAAACCTCTAATTTTAGTAATTTTAGATTTATATTTAACCCAAAAGAAAGGTTAAATTAAATGAAATGCAATTAAAGCTCAATAAGATAATCCTAACTAACCCAAATATGGTTTAGACACTTTAAGAGACAAAAATCCATCTTGGATTTAATCTAAATACTCTTAAGATAAATTCACAAACAAATAAAAATGTAAGTGTGAATGACTTGCCCTTAAAGATACAAATAACACCACCAAAAGGATGATTTAGAGAAGCTTATAAATACATTCATCTAAAAAAGACTTCAAGTATAACGAACATCACTATAAGAAGTCTTATGCATAGTTTTGATCTAAAACTCACTTTAACCGATCTCTCTAAGGATGTATCTTACGTAAAGCTAACTAGTCCAAGCAAAGAAACAAACAAATGTATTAGAGAAAAATCTTAATTTTCATTTAATACATTTGGCAAAACTCTCATACAAAGTAGCACATCAAAAAGGTAGCTAGGGTCGATAAAAATTGTCTAATTTGGACATCAAAACTCAACCTTTGGCGTAAACCCACAATTAAAAATAGAAAAGGAGTCTTCCATGCATCCATAATTTAATTAGGACTCATCTTTAAGTATCCATATCAAATTAGGATGAATATGACTTAAATAACTTCTAAACAAATAAGGATGCAAATATAAAGTCTCACTCTAACTTTAAGACTAATATTTAGCCTTTAATAAAAATAAGATGAGGACTAATTTAATTATCCCAAGTCCAACTAGTAAAAAGACTCAAAACAAAACATAACCATCCAATCCATTGTCAAACTTACACAATATAAGGTAAGATAAGATATGATAACATGATTTCAAATTTTTGGCAAAATAAGAAAACTTAGATCATGTAGAATTTTGTAAGGACACTTATATGTCACGCTCTCCGAGTTGAAGAATAGTTGACCTCAACATCTTGATCTCCATCCTCTTCAAGATAAGATGTAAGATTGACTTTCCTAAATGTATTTGAGACTAAGTGACCTCTAGGTGAGTCAATCTTGTACCACCTATATGCTTGGCAACATGGAATGAACCTTCATTATCTTAAAGCTTTATGTCCCTCTTTATGTTTAGTTCTTTTTCCTTAGGTCTATTCATACTAAGTCTCCATATTTGCAAGTTGCAAAACTTTGTGACTCCAATGCAAGACTTCTCTAAATTGGAACTTTTGGCATTATTTTCACTCTTCTCTTTTTGTAAAATAAAAATAGTATAAATTAAGCATGGTTAACAGACTAAACAATAGTTTCGAAAACAAGAAGAACTAATTGATTCATTTATTTAAACTAGAGGGAGTAATTTATAATTTTCTCTAATAATTAATTCAAAAACCCACCCGAAAAGCGAGAGAGAGAGAGAGAGGAAAAAAAAAAAAAACGCCCGGTCCGGTGTTAATAATAATAACAATAAAATAGGAAATAAGAATTTGTACTTTTCCGTGAGATTCGCTTACCTAGCCCCGTCAACCAATCATATCCAAGACCGACCGTACCATCCAAGAACAGAGTTCCATTCTATTTCTCCTTCCTCCTCTTAAAAACCACCCTGCGTCTTTCAATATACTTATTTTTTTTGGCAATAAAACAAATTCTTACGTTCAGGTATTACTAATAATTAATTAATTGATCGATTAGCTATTTTCATTCAACTTCATTTGCTTTTATTATGATCTAGAAAACTAGATTAAATTTATTCTCACTGTGATTATCAATTCATAGCATAGGGTTTTAATTAGTAGTATTATCTTTTATTGTTTTGATAGATCATCATGTGCCTGTCATTTGCAATCTAGTTGTTTTTTAATTTTGGAACAGAATCTGAAACTGTTAGTGAGAGAATTTCTATTTTAGTGTGTGCTGTGTGCTGTTTGGTCTTAAATCATTATTGCCTCTAGGATTTCAAATTTGGATCTTTGTTTAGGAGACCAGCATATTTGAATGCGTTAATTTTGACAAGTTTAAATTTATTTTACTTGTAGGATGAAATCACGGTTTGCAATATTCAGGAGTACGGCATTCTCTCTTCTTCTCATTGTTCTTGTATGTGCAACTGTTATTATATGGGCATGGAACAGAACTCCGCTTCTCACTGCCTTCCTTCCGCCTAATGGTCTGTTGCAACTTTCTCCAGGTATGCTTTACTTTATGTTTCTTTACCATTAATTACTGTTTTCGTTAAATTTCCTTTATATCCTGTTTTAGTGGCGCAGATGTTCATATTTATCTAAGAGCTGGATGTTTAGAGTTATGAAATAATGTAATACAGGAAGTGACGCCTTTCAGCTGTAGTCTCAACATTTTCCAACTTATAATGCACACTGGTCTATTGTTTACCTATTCATTTTGCAATAATAATCCACGGTTTCTTAAGATATTGATCTAGACTTTGCTGCTGACTTTTAGATTATGAGCAATGTTTGTTGAAGATTGGTTACTTTGTTTTGGACATTATGGTGCAGAAATACTAATGGCCGTTCCATGTTTTAGTTGGGATGGATCTTCTGAACAAATATATGGGGATTTTGTGTGTTGGTGTACATATTTGCATACTAGGATTTGTGATATAGATGTTGTTCTAATGATGCTGTCCTATCTGTAGCAGAAGCAGAAGCTAATGACAAGCATCCAGCCCTGAAAGTAGGAAGAAATGGCACTGCAGAAACTTCTACTGGTTTGGTAGAAGCAGAAGTGAAGCATGACCAGAAAATGGAAAAAATTCTGAAAAAAGATGTGCAAATTATGGAGTTTGCAGCACCAGTGCGTTCTGAAAATTCAAGCTCGCGTTCTGAAAATGCAAGCTCCACAGTGAAGGAACAACATATTGAAAATGTTACAAGGCTTATGGATGATCAAGGTAATATATGCATGCTTGAGACATTGATGTCTTGTGGCTTCTGGTTCCAGCGTGCTAACTTGAATCTACCTTGAGTAAGATGTTAAGTGAATGCTGCCAAAGATGGCATGTATCATCGTCAGCACAGACCATTGCCTTCATGATGCAACTTTTTTATTAAGACATCATGCTGAGTGTCCTGTCTGATCAATGTCTAGTTGATTGGTTTTTGAAGCCATTGGTAGACGTCTCAAAAGAGATTTACTTGTCTTTTTATGTTGTACTCTGCCAAGCTTTAAGTTGTCCATTTCAGAAGTGGTCCAAAATTGTTCCCTGCATGATAGCAACATATTGGAAAAAGTACAATAACATGTATGCTGCTGCTAGTTCTGGGTGATAACATTATCCTCTCTGATGAATTGAGAATGGTTGTTTCTATGAACATGGGTTGTCCTATGTCCATTCTTTATAACTAATAATGTCACAACCATACAATCCTAGAGATGCAGTTATTTTTGTGCCATTTCCACATTTGACATTCGGTGAATTCCTGGCAGGCTTGAGTGCTGATGCAGTTCTATTTTTTATACTACTTATTTATTTATTTATTTTTTAAATCTTTAGGTGCATGTCTCTAAGATGTCTTAGTACGTATATTTACCAGTTGCTGATTCTTATCCCATCTTATTCTTACTCCAGGCTGTAACTATGCAAAAGGAAAATGGGTTTTAGATAATAACCGGTCTTTATATTCTGGGTTTCATTGTAAGCAATGGCTGTCACAGATGTGGGCCTGCCGCTTGATGCAACGCAAGGATTTTGCCTATGAGAAGATACGGTGGCAACCAAAAAATTGTCAAATGGAAGCATTTGAAGGGTCCAAGTTCTTAGAAAGGTACTAATCTATTTTTTCAACTTCAACTGTTTGCTGCTCAAAAAACACCAAATTGATGAAGTTCTAAACTTCTGCTGATTTATGAGTCACATGCCTTTAAATGCTCCCCAACCTTGCCATTATTCATGTGAGTCGATGTTTCACATACTCTCTGTATGGCGGCCATCTAGGCTGATTATTGCTTCACTTTGTGCTGGTTCTAAAAGTAATGCATAATTTTTTTGTCATTCAGGATGCGAAACAAAACTTTAGCTTTTGTTGGAGATTCATTGGGCCGTCAGCAATTCCAGTCTTTGATGTGCATGATCACTGGTGGTAGGGAGAGCCCTGAGGTAATGGATGTGGGAAAGGAGTATGGACTTGTTGTACCCAAGGGAGGTGCTCGCCCTAATGGGTGGGCTTATCGGTTTGCAAGCACTAATACTACTGTCCTTTATTACTGGTCATCCTGCCTTTGTGACTTGGAATCTATTAATATCACAAACCCAGCAACTGACTTCGCCATGCATCTTGATCGGCCACCAGGCTTTTTGCGCCAATTTCTTCATAAATTAGATGTCCTGGTCCTGAACACAGGGCACCACTGGAATCGAGGAAAGCTTAAAGCTAACCGCTGGGTCATGTATGTGGGAGGTATGCCTAATACCAACAGGAGACTAGCAATGATTGGGAATGCCAAAAATTTCACTATCCACAGTATTGTCAATTGGGTGAATTCTCAGCTTCCGAAACATCCACGCTTGAAAGCTTTCTATCGAAGCATCTCACCTAGGCATTTTGTTAATGGGGACTGGAACACAGGGGGAGCTGCAACAATACAACCCCAATGTCTATAGGAAAGGAAGTAGTGCAAGATGAGTCTAGCGATTATAGTGCTGGCAATGCAGTGAAAGGGACTGGGGTTAAGCTCTTGGACATAACAGCTTTATCCCAACTGAGAGATGAGGGTCACATATCACAGTATAGCATTACAGCTGTGAAAGGAGTGCATGATTGCTTACATTGGTGTCTGCCTGGTGTTCCTGACACATGGAATGAAATCCTTTTTGCCCGTCTTAGTGCTACATCAGTGAATAATTCTTGAAGGCAAATGATTTGAAGAAGGTGATATCATTTTGTGATTGCGTCAAGAATGGAATCTGAATCTGGTCATTGCCATATATGCTTCACGCACAGGATTGCAAAACTATTGGTTCGCAGATGCTGCTTAACAGAGCTTCAAACTGAATTCTTTTATATTCCAGAATTTTGAAATCATGGAGAATGTTCGAATTTCATGGTTAAGAGGAACAAGCAGCGTCGTAGCATGGACAGCAGGAATTTCTGTGGTTAACATCTGCAGGTTCAGTCCCAAGTTTCTAGCTCAATGAAACCATCGTTTCTGCGACTGCTACATTTCTTTTGGAATTGAAAGGAAGCTCCCAGATAGCGTATTGGGGCGTATTTGCAACTCACTACAACTGTAAATGTCTGACTCTGTATTGAATAGAAATTAAGAGAGAAGGGAAAACAAATAAGAAAAAGAAAAGTTGAGAGTCCTTTATTCAGATATAAGCAAATCCGTAGAATAGTAGCGATATATATACTCTTGGGTTTAATGGCAAAAATTATCACTAAACTACTAAAATATGATAATTTTGAGTCTTTAGGATCAATTTGGATTAATTAAACTTTAAACTATTATTTTTTTGACAAATGTGATTTTTACTTGATATTTTTAAAAGTCAAAAGGTTGCTTGTCAATGTCATTTCTTTAATTGTTAATATTTTATTTTTATTTTTATTTTTTTAAAGTATAGATAATCAAATAAAATAAACAAAAGTAAATATGTAAATTAAAAAAATAAAAATATAAAATTTCAATTAAAAATAAAATAAAATGTTCATTATCATGCAATGGACATGTTAATATATTGGTATGTTAATTTAATGGTTATATTATATAAATTTAACATAAATTCTTAATTAGAAAATAAAATTAAAAATTTACATTAACGACAATCTAGATAATAATAGACTTAAATATTTTATTTTATTTTTAATTTAATCAATTTAATAGTTATTTTAATATAAATTTAACATAAATACTTAATTAGAAAAAAATTAAAAATTTATATTAATGACAATTTAGTTAATACTAGATTTATGGAATGGTTGTGTCAGCATAAATATTTTATTTTATTTTTAATTTACTCAATTTAATAGTTACCAAATCATAATATTCTGGGCTTAAATCCATACTGTACTGTACTGTTGTATTACGCGTTTTTTCTATCTGCATCATCACTTTAGGCCTTTAGGGAGCTACAATATTCAAATTAGCTTTTGTTTGGGAGCTCGTGCATTCTAATAATCAATCCGAGGGTAGTTAGATTCGTACAGTACAGGACGGCTTGGGGGGTTTATTTCTTTCCCAGTTCCAACGCAAGTACATTTGAGATTTGAGACAACAATGCAACGGTTATTTCTTTATTATTTTTTCAACTTCTTACGGAGCGCTTGTCGGGTTTACCATCTTTCATGAATGAGAAAAGGCTGACTTAAAAACTGTGGACTGGCCAGCCAATTCTATCATTAATAATTGATCCTTATTAATAATATTTATATATAGATAGTGGTAATTTTTTACAATAAAAAATTATAGATTTAAATTCTAATAAATTAATTTTTTAATTGAATAAAAATTGTTAATTGATGAAATGAATATTACTGTATTTTAAAATATCTTTCATTACTATTGTGGCTGTTACTATGGTATCTGGTACTTTCACGATCCATTCCCAACAACCTTAATTTCTAAAACCTTCATTGAGCATGGGCCGACAAATCCAAAAAGATACTCCAAACCAATTAATTAATGACCGTCCACGACAATGCCGTTCTGTTTTCAAGTCATAATAATTTATTTATTTATTTATGCTAAGCCTAAGATTGCAAATCCATGGATTTGATGGCATGAAAAATCCAATACGGGAGATTGTGTCACACGTTAACTTCCATTTACATGCCATTTTTTGTCCATATTCAACGACCAGAATAAGGCATCCACGTGTCACCATACACAGGCCAATGCATCCAGCTGACTCAGCTCGATCTTAAAGAAAAGGGGCAAAACAGTAAAAAATGAAAATTCCCTAACGTCTCTCTGACACGCTGACGCTACCTTATTCAAAAAAAGTAGGAACAAATCTCGCTTCTTTTGCTACCAATTATTTTCACTTTCTTTTCCTCTTCTCGCCAATTTTTTATTTATCATTTGTTTCTTGAAGATAAAAATATCTAATCAATGGCTGAGGAATTCGGTAAATCGGTTGAAGACGGACTGAAACTATCAAAACGGATATACCTGGGGAAAGACAGGGCGGTGGCGCCCCCGAATCCTCCCTCGCACATGGAGAAATCAGCTGCGGTGTATTTACCAACGGCGCCGATGGTTTATGCTGTTATAACAAACCCGAGGATTGTGGACAATCCGGATATACCGAGTTACCAGCCGCACGTGCACGGGAGGTGTGACCCGCCAGCGTTAATTCCGCTCCAGATGAACCGGATTGAACTGGAAGCGGATTCTTATTTGGATACCGCTTTCGTTAAAATCAGTGGATCCTGGAGGGTTCATTGTGTTATGGGAAGTAAAAGCTGTGATTGCCGTCTTGCCGTTCCTATGGGCGAGCAGGTGTGTTTTTGGATACCTGTAAAGTATAAAACATTTTTGAGGATAATTGATTGGATTTCTTTTCGTTATATTTTAAATGAAAATCACGATATATATATATATATATATATATATATATATATATATATATATATATATAGAACAAATTTTTTTGAGTAATTTAGAGGGTGTATTAATTTTTGGGAATGCTTTTTTAATTTTTGATCTCAAGAAATATTATTATTTGGCTAACAGGGTTCAATTCTAGGTGTTGAGGTGGAGGTTTCTGGAAAGTTGTATCACACGGAATTGGTTGCCATTGAAGATAAAAAATATTTGGAAAAGGAAGCCAGGCTTGAAAATGGAGGCTATTTGAAGCCACATATATTTACAATAACGATACCCGAAGTAAGTTCCAGTCATTATTACATGGGGTAGACATGATTTTATTTATTTTTTGTCTAAAGCCTTTTTTTTTTTTTAATCTCTAAAGGTTGACGGGGGATCAATACTTTCAGTTAAAGTTAGTTGGGTACAGAAATTACTGTTTCACAAAGGTGAGTTCTCGTTGATTGTACCATTTAGTTTTCCGGAGTATGTCACTCCTCATGTAAAGAAGCTACCCAAAAAAGAAAAGATACAGTTGAATGTGAATTCCGGTACTGGAAGTGAAATTGTGTGCAAGACAACTAGTCATCCTTTGAAGGTGCATCTTTCACTGTTGTTCCTTGGATTTGTAATGCTTTTTAAATTTTTAGTAATAAGTAAGGTTAATGTGATTTCTTTTTTCTAATTTTCCAGGAATTAAGACGTGAAGTTGGAAAATTGGGTTTCTCATATGAATCAGAAGTTCTCACTTGGACAAATGTTGACTTTACTTTCTCATATGCTGTAAGATTCACTTTACTTTCTCATGTCATTTATGCCCTTTTGGTTTACACTTATGCTTACCAGAGAAGGAAAGATGCCTTCTTAGAATATAAAATGGACATACTGGAGATGCCAGGATTCTTTGGAGAGCGTACTGTATTTTGATTTCTGTAGGATTCTTATAATTCTTGTGTTTATGTGGTTATCAGGTCCCTTTGAATCATATATTTGGTGGAGTGCTTTTGCAAGCTCCATCTGTGCATGATGTTGATCAAAGAGATTTGTTTTGTCTCTATCTTTTTCCTGGAGGTCATCAGAGTAAGAAGGTTAGTCCAGCATGTGCTCAATCTCTTCTTTCTTTTCTTTTCCTTTGTTTTTTTTTTTTTTGGTCCTACCTTTTCCCCTAAATGCACTGACCTTTGAAGGTACAATCTGATAGGTGTTCAGAAAAGAGATAGTATTTGTTGTTGATATAAGTGGAAGCATGGAAGGAGAGCCCCTTGAGGGTACAAAGAACGCCTTATCTGCAGCACTCACAAACCTTGATTCCAAAGATTCCTTCAACATCATAGCTTTTAATGGAGAGACTTATCTCTTTTCCTCGTCAATGGAATTGGCCTCTGAAGAAACGGTTGAACGGGCTACTGAGTGGATTAATATGAATTTCATTGCTGGTGGCGATACAAATATCTTGGTTCCTCTGAAAAAGGTCAACATTCATTCATAATTTTGTGATTATATATGTGTCCATGCTCGTATAATATGTATGTCTGCGTACACCTAGACACAGAGCTTAACATAAAAATGCCCAAATGTTAAATGAAATGTTGAAAAAATCTAGTACCAAACATTTCTATAAACAGATCAAAATGGTTACTATCTTTTGGCTTTATATACCGAGCTAAATAACGTTATTGTTCTGTTTAGCATTTGGTGAATGGTTTGTGAGATTTTAGTTTTGCCATGATTTTGAACTGGTGATCGGAAAAGCACTAGATTATGCCCATTGCATCTCCGTATATTTGAACTTGATATTTTCTCTTCTTTTTTGTGTTCTAAAATCTTTTGATAGCAATTTATGGATATTGATAATGTTTGCTTCCAGTGCATCTGGGCTTGTAGTTAATACATGATACAAAAACAAAAATGTTTCAACTTTTTGCTTGCTTCATGTTTCCAGGCAACAGAAATGCTATCAAGTTCTCATGGTTCAATCCCTGTCATCTTCCTTGTCACTGATGGGGCTGTTGAAAATGAAAAACACATCTGTGATGTAATGAAAAGTCATATAACAGGTGGAGGATCAATATGTCCACGTATTTGCACCTTTGGCATAGGTAACAGTTTCTAAAGCATCATCTAGTGGATTCGTAGCATGTTATCAGTTGCTTTATTACTTTATTGTTTTATTGTTATTGTCTCCCCTTTTTGTGGGGGTTGATTTGATGGGGGTGGTCAATATCTGCATTTGGACGTTCTTTCTGATGACTCCAGCTTTGCAGAAACGAACTTCTTATTTTCTCTAGATTTGTTTTACATATTCTGAGAATTTCATGTAACTACCTTGAAATTTTGGAACATTACAGGTTCATACTGTAATCATCATTTTCTGCGAATGCTTGCAATGATTAGCAGGGGTCAATATGATGCTGCCTACCACATAGGTCAGTTTTATACTCTGGATATTCCTTTTCTTTTCTTAAAGTTTGTTTGTTTGTTTGTTTGTTTTTTTTTCTTTTTTTTTTTTGGTTTTTTTTGTTTTTTTGGTTGTGGGAATGGCAAGGGGTTGCTGCATAATTGAGTGATTTGAAGCTGTTGCATATATTTATGAGACATCTGACAATTTGTTGAAGGATAGGTTAAAATGCATAAAATTATCTGGGTGTGATAGCCTGATTCTTTCATCCTACCATTTGATAACTACAACTGATTTAAGATCTTAGTAGTTGAAACTAGGGATTCAAAAGATCAGATATCTTGTGTCTTTCCCTTTTGAGTTAGAATAAGGTTATAATATAGTGCCAGATAGCCTTGTAGTTTTCCAATTTAGGCTTGGAACTAACTAACATGACATGTAGGACAGATTTGAGATTTCTGTTCTACAAAGAATTTGAGGTGAGCTAGGGTTTATTATTTGTGAAGTTAGGGTAGAATAGAGCTTGGTTATGAAGAAAAAGGAGAAATTATTATGTCGACAGTAAAAATAAGAGAACATAGAAGAAATTTTAGATACCAAGCTTTCAAAATAACTCTAAAACTCAATTTATTTCATAACTCAACTCTGCCAAAAATTAAAACATAGCGTCCCTATTTATAGGGATTAAGACTCTCTAAAAGACTAGCATAACTAATCCTTACTTGAATAGGAAATAAACTAAACAAGAATACAGTATCAAAGATTAAGTGACAAAATTCCTTAATAAAACTAGACATTCAAGTAATTCTGAAAATTATTAAAATACCCCTGTTTTGCAGAACATGCTAAAATAGCAATTCTGGCCATGCTTACAAAATAACCCATAACTCAAGACTCTTAAACCCAAACATAAAGTAAATTATAAATTAGCTTCTTTAGTTTTGAGAAACGAATTAATTGGTCCTATTTGTTTTAAATGCTAATTATTTAGTTCTTATATTTTTAACTTTCTTATAACTTAGTCATTTTTGCTCTTTTTCGATTTGTTTTGATTTTTTATTTTAGGAAATAGAAAAATAAAACATAAGTAAAAATATGGAAGGATTGATGAAAAAATATAACAGTTTATAAGATAAAATAATATTAAATTAAGCATGGTCACCACTAGTTAAACTATTAAATAATTAATTTTTTAAACAAAGTAGGCCAATTAATTTGTTTTTAAAAAATAGAGAGACTAATTTATCATTTATTCTCCAAACATAGAATGTACCAAGGAACTTTTGATCAAAAAGCCTTCTTGCCTGATGAAGAATGACTTAATGTAGCTTTAGGTTTCCAAAGTGGAGTGTGTTTCTCTAAGTATAACATAGCTACTCCATCACATGACATAGATCCTGCATGCCTAGGGTTAATGCCTCATCTGTCATTTCAAACTTCTGAGTTTTGGTATTCAAAATAAATTGTGTAAGTAGATAAGAAATGATATCTAGAAATTTATTTCTCTTCTCATATTAGTAGTATCTATAATCTGTACTTTTTTATTTTCTTGTGGTCAGATTCAGTTGAGTCTCGAATGCAAAATTTGTTGAGCAGAGTTTCATCTACAATTGTTGCAAATATAAACCTCAAAGCCTTTGATGATCTTGATGAAGTTGAGGTATGCTCTGAATTACTTCAAATAGGTAATCTTTAACTGCCTTAAGATAGTTGAGGTATGATTCCCTCAACACTTCCTTCTCTTTTTTAAACTCTCTTACTTTTTTTTATGATTATTCTGTTAAAAAAAAAATCTGTAAATCTTGCACGTTATTCAATTGTTTCCATATGATACTATTTATCTGTCTCATTTAAATCCATGTGTTATTTATCATCTATTGTACTCACCCACCCCACCATGTATGATTAATCTCTTTTACTTTCTGCACAATTAATTATATTATTTGATGGTATGGATTCGATTTTTATCTGAACTCATCTGAACTCATGTATCCTTTTGCAATTTGTGATAGATGTACCCTTCTCATATTCCAGACCTTTCTTCTGAAAGCCCATTGATTGTTTCTGGGAGATATCAGGGAAACTTCCCTGATACTGTTCTAGCTGCAGGTCTTTTAGGAGATTCAAGTAATTTTTCTTTAGATTTGAAGGTGCAAAAGGCAAAGGACATTCCTCTTCATAGGGTAAGGCACAAACCAGTTATATGGAATTTTTTTGTTTTTCTTTTCTTAAATGGTGTTCGATATATATTTTTGTTATCTCCTTTTAAATTGTCTCAGTAATGCTGACGTGGTGAATAACTCTTGTTTGCCTATGCTCCTCTCTCGTTCAGCCAATGTTGTACATGTTAAGTGCTCGTTGTGGTATTAGGCTAACTAACTGGTGGTGCTCCACATATAATTCTAGTTTGCTGCTTCTAGAGATAATGCTAATTTTCCTCTTTATGACTGTTTAATTTGATTGTTTTCTGTAATTCTCGATATTTCCCTTTTCATAAATTATGTTAAATGGTTTTTCAGTTTAACTTTTTAGTGCATTTTTTTTATGACCATTGTAGTTTTGGTCTCATAGAAACCTGTATAATTAAACTTTTTTTAATGTTTTTTTTTTTAATATATCTTTTCCACATCTCTCATTCAAGACCATTGTAGTTTGGTTCACTTAGAATCATGTACAGAACATCACTTTTTCACATGCAAATAGCTTCACAGCTCTGGATTTTCTATTGTCAATTCTCATTAAGTGTCTGTTCTGTAACAGGTCTTTGCAAAGCAACAGATTGATCAACTCACTGCACAGGCATGGTTTTCAGAAAATAAGCAGCTCGAGGAGAAGGTCTGTTTGTGTTTTAACTTCTTCCTTGGCCTGAAAATTTTGGTGATACAATGAAGTATGCATTGCTCTGCTGATTATCTAATAGATTCTGATAGGTCCTTCAGAATACCTTTGTTGTTCTTTGGCTCCACTGGGTCTTTGGTGTCAACTGCATTACTTACTTCCGTTTGCTAGTTAAGGGGAGTTATTGATGCTATTTATTTATCTTATATTGGCAGGTCGCAAAATTGAGTATACAAACTGATGTTGTTTCTGAATACACTTGTATGTCATTACTTAAGACTGATGGAAGAAATCAAGCAGCAGAATCACCTGGAGGGAATAAGGTATGTGTTGATTCTGTGTTATAGAAAATGTAATAGTGTACTTGTCTACATTGCGGATTGTAAGTGGAGACACTAATTTCAGAACTCCAACTACTCTAGAAGTCCTGCCAAATTACCTCTTCATGACTTCAGAAGTTAGGTTGCCAAAAATAAGATTTTGTGACGATCATATTGCTTGTTCATGTGATGCATGAGAATGCATTTAAATCTTTCTTGCTGCACCCATAGACAGCTACGAATCTCCTTTTTAACTGATCATTGACTAAACTACTACAACATATAAATTGTTGAAACTGCAGCGTGGCTATCAGCTTGCACAGTTTTGCATGGATGTTCCTTTCATATATATTATTTTTCATCTGATTATTAAAATCTTACTGTTAGCGCGTTCCAAAATTCACCATACACAGTTATCAAAGAGAGAAAGTCCCCAGAAGGTGTCTCAAGGCCAGAGAAGAATATTCCTAAGGAACCTTGGTGTCGGTTTTGGCAATTTGACTGCAACAGCTGAAAACCTTCGTCCAGGAGCTGAAGAGTCGAAGTTGCCCGAGGCAGCAGAAATTATCATTAAGGCAGCTTCAAATTGTTGTGGCAGGATGTGGGGTCATTGTTGTTGTATGTGCTGCATCCAGTGTTGCACCAAGATAAACAACGAGTTCGCCATAGTCTTAACTCAGATTTGCTCTGCTCTAGCGTGTTTTGGCTGCTTTGAGTGCTGTTCACTAGTATGTTGCGGAGGACGAGATGGACACTAAGACACGACCTCTATTCAACGCTGTATATTATATTTATTTTAACAGAGCGTATAATGATAATTGTTTGAAGCATTAATGTCCATTAATTCCCTGCTGAATTGGCATACTGCAAGCGTTGAAACTCACGATCAACAGATTATAGTGTTACCTGGAAGTTTTTAAGTTTGGGCATCATAGTTTTAAATAATGATCGTTACGTTATATAACGATTATTATGTAACAGTTTCAGAACATTCCATTATAGTTATTTTAGTATTATAGTAAATCGTGATTCGTGATAGTTATCGTCATCGTTTTTTCAACCACTCGTTATTTAAAAATATGCTAGGCACACAAACACAAACCTGTAATACTTTGAATTGTTTGAAATAGAAAAAAAATGAGAGATGGTCTCTTGCGGAAATCTGTTAAAAAAGATTTGAACAACGAATCATTTTAATTAGGCCATGCGCTCAAAGACCAACTTGATTTGTAAATTCACTGCTCTTGTTGCCCACTACCAAGGAAAGAAAAAGTAGAGTTCAGCGTACGCAAATTATCCGCCTAAAGCTTAAGCAATCGTGCGTAACTCTGGACAAGGCAGCTCCTCGAATTGCATTTCCCATACCTGCCTTCTTAACTACCTTCTTTTTATCCACCAATGGATGTTTAGACCAGAAATACTCACCCCAACTTCAAGAAAAAGGAGACAAATCATGTTTGTCCTGGATTTGCCACTAGAAAAGAAGGAAAGAAGAAGAAGAAAAAAAGGACTGTTATTTTCCATTGTTTTTTCTCCTCTTTCTAGTTTTTCTTCAGGGTTCGACTCCACTTTCTTCTCCATTAAGATTTTCTTCTACGCATTCTTCCACTTCCAATTCTGATGCTCCCTCCTCTTTTGAACCCACAAATCTCTGATGAATTTTTTCCTGAATCTTTGTAACACCCTTCTCAACAGGTCCTATTGCTTGATTTATGGTCAACACCACATCCTTGACAACCTGCTTTTAAGAGGTTCCGTAAAAATAATACCAAAAAAATTGAAGAATTTTAATATTCACAATGCCTTTTCTTCGAGAGCACTTACACGTTGACCGCCACGAAGAACTATGTCTTGAACACTTTCAGTAACACTCGTCCCAGGAGCAGCAACCTGGGTTTCCGTCTTTTCAAGCACAGCTGGTTTCACCTGGTCACCTTCCTCCAACTTCAACTCTGCTTTGGTTGTTTCAGTGGTTACCCTTCCGTACTCAGAGGACGGAACAAAATGGTACGGCTCTGCCGAAAATACATGTATATGAGCCACAGCTGCAATGGCCATCTGCCGAGTAGTCAAATTGAAACCGTATGGTTATGGCAACAAAACCAAACAATCTAGGAATATCATAATGCTTCTCAGGTAATAATGGTTCAGCAATGAATGTTGTGGGCATAACATTTGAATTCTTGGAAAATAACTGCATCAGTTCAAGCAGTCCTTGCAGTAAATGAATGGTAAATAGAGATTCTGCCAGGAAAAAAATTGTTTGTAGAGCAACTTACTTCTATGCAAATCAAGAAGTCTTGCAACCCAGTTCGGAATCTTTTCTCATTGGGCAGAAATCTAGAGGCACACAGTAGAGCAATAGCTAGACCTTGCCACCAGGTGGCAAACACAATAGCCTTGAAGCTGATGAACTTTGCGAGTGGCTTTATTGGTCTTAGTCTTTCATGCGTTACATTGTAGAACTGCACGAGGCAATACAGTGCCCACATCTGACTGAAGTTGAGTACCAATGCTATGTATGGATATCTGCAAGACACCAGAGTGAATTAGCTAATCAAAAAATAAAAGCCATTCCTGTATATCTATCTAGCAACAAGAACCTTGTATTCGCATATTATCTGATAGAATAGAAGAGGAAAATATCCTCTTAATCTTACGGTGCCTGGCTATGATCTCTTAAAAAAAGAGCTCCACAAACAAGAAGTCACACTGATGTAAGTAGAGACTTGCATTCAATTCGAGAATCTAAAAACAATAGAGGGTATTGATTTGCAATCAAAAGCTTAGAAAAAGCAGGCAGCTTAAGTAGAAGATGACACAAGTAGTGCGTACAAGTATCATGAAGTACCTACCCGTAGTACCACTTGAATTCCCCATCACCATAAACCCCGATGAGCTCCAACAGGAATGCCAATAGTGCACAAAATGTCTTCAGAATCATCTGAACTAACCACAAGATATTAGACTCCAAACAGAGTCATGATCAGATCATATAAATGGAAAGGTCACTGACTTACATATTGTACAAGACCAAATCGCTGTATTGTAAACAAATCCCTTCCTATAGTACATGGCCTGGAGAAAAAGTTGATAAAAGATCTAGTTTGTACAGTTTGATTCTCATTCTTCCCTTCCAACAATAGCTTGCCGAGCTGCCTTCGTGATTGATTTTCAAGGAGTTCTATTACACTCCTTTCTCCACCTAGCAAGCAATTTTCCTTTGACACACCAATTTGACAAAGTACAAGCTCACGCAATAATTAACATTCTAGTTCAATTAATATCACACACCAGATTAGACTCAATCCATGGAGTTTGTAGAGAAAAGCAAGATGAGGACAAAGACAATATTTTTAATGCAGTATCTGAAATTTGTTCACTCGATGAAAATACCTGAAGCACTGTACACTTAATGCAGAGAGACAATAGCGCACTGTAGCAAATATACCAAGCAAAATCTAGCGAAGACAGACCAGAAAAATATAGAGCTTTACTTACCCAAACAAGCAACCAAATAGCTACCAAATGAGTACAGAGCAAATGCTTCATAGCAATTTCTTATAATGTCACAAGCAACAGACAATCTTGGGTTCCATAACGATAAAATCTGAAGAAGTAAATAAGCAATAGAATTATTATCTACCAATTTTTATAAACAAAGCTACAAAAATCACAAAATGTAATATCTGCATGGCTAATGGTGCATTAAAGATAGAAAGCTTACCGACTGTGTTGCATAGACAGGAACCATGAAAATAACTGCAACAATCCACTTTTGTTCCTTGAAAGAGTTAATGAATTCAAGATTTTAATAACTAGCCAAATCATTAAAAAATCATCAACTTTGCAGGAAATGGGAAAAATAATTAAAGAACAAACCGCAGGGTTAGTGTAGGATTTAAGATGCTGAAAAATGAGATACATAGAAAGCGCCACTGCGGAAAGGGCAAGACCTCCTCCAATAATAACAGCTGGCTGGTGCAAATCTGTATAAGTATTATCATATTTTGATACCATTTCTCTTGCATCTTCCACCCTCTAAATTACATACCCAGTACTGATATTTAGTATAAAAACAAAAGGAAAAATAATGGATAGATTAACAAATGGATTTAACAACATTACCTTGCTATTTTTAAAGCCCAAACAAAAGAATAGAGTGAAGCAGGAAGAGAAAGAAAAGAACATAACAGAACAGAACAGCAGGCGTTGGTTGCGCGCGGGACTTTGTATGCGTTTGCTTTTGAAGTTGACATGTGCACTTTGTCTCACAGTTGGCAGTTATGGTTATGACACGTTGTTTTCGATAAAATAGGAAGGAACTCAATTTTTTTTGTTTCTTACCACATCCACCCCCAATATTCCCAGTAAATTGCACGAGACCGCAAATTATGTACCAAGTAGTTTTCCATACCCATCAAGCATATATTTAATAATTAATTTACATAATAAGATAGGAGATGGAATTTTTTTTTTTTTTTTGAGAAATTTATGACGTGGATTTGGAGCTATGGAGTTTATACCTCTCTAATCTAATATTATAGTTAGAAAATGGAAGACTACCATTAGAAACATGAAAATGCAGTAAAAATGGGGGCCTCTCCTGTTTTTTCTATTCATTAAATTCTGTGTTTCGACGGTATTAATGATAATAATAATAAATTATTTTGGGTTGGTAGAATTATTACGACTACATTATATACCTTAGTCAGAAGAAAATGAAAGTAAATTGTATGGAGCCATTAATTGTGATTCAATTTGCTGGATATGGTAAAGGTTAATTTGAAATGTCATCAGTTAACACGTTTTTGATCCAATAGCAAGTAAGTTGGTTTTCAATTATTTTTTTTTATCAATATACATGGTTCAAATTCTAAAATCGTATTTATTAAAAAAAATTAAATCTTATCATTTTTGTTACAAAATTAATTCTATTTTCAATATGAAATAGAGATATTAGGAAAAACCAAAAAATAAAATGTCATCATTATGGTTTAATATATTAGAAATTACAAAAACCTATTTGTGAAGTGCAAACCATTGTTTTCTTAAGAAGGTTGATAAAACTTCTGATGTGATGAATGTGGTTATAGGATGAAAATTTTCTTGTTATTTTCAAATGGATTATGTTCTTGAATGTGTTTTGAGATTCATTGGTTTTCCAATAAAAACAAAGTATGATACAAACTTATTTAGGTTTCAGATTAATAAGTTTTCAGATTAGTATTCAGGTAAGCTAATAAAATGGAAATCTATTTATGAAATTGATTTCAAATAAGATTTGATTTATGACCATCATGTACAATTGAGATTAGGTGAGTAAGAATTTTTTAGAGAAAAATCTAATAGGTTGATTCGTGGGCATAATTTTTGAGAAATTGACAACAACAAAAATAAATAAAGAACCAAGCTGGCCAACACCATGTCGTGGGTTGTATATTTATTTGTTCATAATAATAAGATTCTAACACAAATGTGCGCATACACAAACACACACACACACACACACATCTTTGCAACAACATTAAAAAAAATAAAAATAAAAAAATAAAATGAATAAAATAAATTAGAACAAATTCTAAAAAATGTTATAACAATATTAAAATTCAATTCATGTATTATATGAACCTAACTCGAAACTCGTCATAAATATCAATAGGAAGGAATTAATTGGGAAAAAAAAGGCAAAAACCTCAAATGTAACAAAGAGTTGAATCTTTCAATTAACACAATAACTTAAATTATTTTTATTTTATAATGGTAGCATCATATTATATTGGAGAAAGTTAATCTTACCAAACATTAAAAATTAAATTGAGTATCGTCATGATATTCAATTATGAATAGATGATCAATTCCCACTCATGCAATGATGAAGTCAAGGCAAGAAATCCTCCATAATCTCTTTTTACATGCCAACTTAAAATAATAATAATAATAATAATAATAAAGGCAAAAACTGAATTTATTAAAAATAAAAAAAGGTGCTCAAAAAAAAAAAAAAAAGATAGGAAAAGGAACATTAGAGAAGAAGGACATGAAAGAAGATGTGTTTTCCGATTAATGGACTTACGTAAACAAAACATGTTCTTTTCTTGTTTATTTTTTTATTTTTTTATTCTTTTGTTCTTTTCTTGTTTCTTATATATATATGATAGGAGAAATTTTTATAATACTCAAGGAATAACTAGTGGAATGTATAATAGTTACCCCATAGACCCATTTTAAGGAAAGAGATAGACATATAAAAAGGAGAGAGAATTACATCCGGATTCACCAAAAGTGATAAGAAGATTTTCATG